CAGTTTCCGACAATTTGCAACCCGTGCTTGTCCGCGTTTGTCGTGCCACAAATTGTCGGAAACGTACCGTGACGTATGTGGAGAGCGATCAGCTGTACTAATGGCCCTAATTAGCATATGAATACAGCAAACCCGCGCGGCTGGCCAAGTCTGGCTTGAATAACCTTCTCAGTATTGGCTGAAACCACTATTCTCAAACAAGTAAAATCGCTCGTGATTGGCAGCAAAACCACACGTGGCCACGCCAGGCTTTAATTTTCTTACTGAGTATTGGACGGAACCGCTTCTTTTTAAACAAGTAAAGTCGCTCGTGATTGGTTGGCATATATATATATATTTACATATAAATTTACATATATATATTTATTCATATATATATATATTTATTTATTCATTCATATATTTATTCATTCATATATTTATTCATTCATATGCTGTGTATTTATGTTATCCTACACTACTACACAATTATTATGCTACCATCAAGGACATGAATGAATTTATACAGGAAATGAACATTTGCCAGGAAGCTGTTTATGCAAAGAAAGAGCTTTATTGAAACACAACTATATACAACGCGTATCCAAACACATGCGTTTCTAAAAATTAAAACTCCGTGAACGGTCCGTTTGCTTCCTCGGGGTTGGAGGTAACTGGCAGCGTTCCCTCCGAGGCAGGTCCGATGTGCAGACGCCTACTGTGCGTGGCCCTGTAGCCTACTTCGGCATCGCTTCTAACCGGGACTGCAGCTTAACACAGAGTTCAGTGAGATCCGGCCTACGAAATGGCGGCGACCGTACAATCCATCCAGAGACTCCGCCGAGGAAGGCGGACTTCCAGAGTTCCACTTCCTCATCTGCTAGCACACTCTGCCTCGCTTTCAGCAGCTGAAAAAAAAAACAATGAATCAGCGCACTGCGTATGGACACAACACATCTATTAATGCACCTGAAAAATAGTCACCAAATAAAGTCTTACCCTCTTTCTTCTGGCCCGACTCCGAGCAGATAGCCTCCGCACGCAGCGTGTGGCTGGCTGCGAAGATCTGAAGCTCCTGCGTACCGTCTGAAAATACGTCTTACAGGCAGCTGGAAAACAATTAAATGAGAGTGGTATAAATAAAAAATCAAACGCAAGTCACAGTAACAAGGAAGGAGAAAACATTAAAACAAGTCACTTACACACAATGTCGTCTTTATCAACATCGTGCAAATCTGGACTTGCCGAGATGGGAGGTCTGTGAAAACAAAATGTAAAAGCTATGATCGGTATCCATCCGTATCCATTACCTTTTACCGCAGAATGAAAGCATATTCTTTAAATCTTACCCTTGCTCCGGTTCATAGCGCCTGCAATTAGTCTCCGAGTTGTGAAGACGGCGTACTGCTTCCTGTAAATCACAAAAAATACACTTTAATAAAGCTTGTTCTAGCAAGGCTACTATTAGCCGCTATTAGCCGGTAGCTTAGGCTAGGCTGCTTTTAGCTTAGCAGGCAGTAATCGAACATATATTTACCGCTAGCATCTCTTCTTTGAGTTCGTCTTGATCGATGCAGAGTCGCCATCGCGTCCAAGAGGAGTTTTACCCCGAAATCCAGAAGCTCCAGACCGCTGCACAAAGCAAAGCATACATCCTCCACTGTGGCTGCACACCGCCGTTCTGAGTTTCTTGGAGATCGTAGGGAGCATGCGCGAGATGAACCAGGGTGTCCGCGGATCAATAAAAATAATTAAAAAATCATTCTTTTTTTTTTTTTTATCAAGGCCTTAATTGGCACTAAAATTATTTAAATATGTTTATCGAAGTATTTATAATTCTTTAATAAAAAATGCTTATAAAAACAATTTCGTCAGATATATTATATCGCTCCAGGCGGAGAAAAAGCTAGAGGATATATATATACGTATATATGTGTGTGTGTGTGTTTACATACATACAGGAGTCATGGAACTCTGCTTGCAGCTCCTTCATATTTCATGTACACTAATAACTTGTGTACATGGTTCTTGATGATGGCATTAAAATCATTTCAAATAGCATTAAAATAGCATTAAATTAGAGTCACTCATTCCTGTATGAACCCTGTGAGTGCTTAATTTAATATGACATATTAAAAAAATCCCACCATCATCCAGCATATGTTCAGTTTCTCCCCAAATATATATGTAGATTTTTGTAACGGGGATAAGGATAATTCAAAACTGCTTTTTTTTTAATGAACTTGTTCACTACTTCCAAACTCAGCATCTCTTTTCATTCCTGTAATAAGAAGTTTCTTTTGAATGGATTTGATTAAAGTTTAAGTCCCTCGGTATAAAATAAATATTTTGATGGAGATAAGAACTCTGCTTCCTCGTTGGTGAATAACCAATAGTTTGGATCCAATCATTTAAATAAACGGTGTTAGTTTTATATATATATATATATATATATATATATATATATATATATATATATATATATATATATATATATATATATATATATATATATATATATATATATATATATATATATAAGAATTGTGCTATAATTTCTAGTCACCAATCTGTTGCTGCTATATTTTAATTTGACGAACCGGAATTTGTCGATGTTCTTTTTCCTGTTTGGTGCGATTGCAATTGCGGATCTTGACCTGGCCAGACCGTATGACCACAGTGTACCAATCTTCTGTTGGCTACTTCCAACAGGATAATGCGCCATGTTATAAAGTAAATCATCTCAGACTCATTTCTTGAAACTTTTCCACTTAAGTAATTGTGAATTGAGCATATTGACAGACAACATTTTATTTTTTATCTTAAATGCAATTTTTTTTTTTATAATTACTGCTCTAAATGTATTGCTCTGTCAGCTAAAGATCTGTTTTGGTCTCTATACTTTAATTAAATAAATCAATTCAAGCTAAAATGTGAGAGGCTATACTAAGCCTGATCTCTTTGTATCAGAGATTTTCTTCCTCAGAAAGATGTCACTTGGGGTAAAACCCCCCCTGCAACCCTGGTTTGCATTTGTATAGCTCACAGCATGTTCATTTACATGTTAAAGCCTCCCCTAGAATTCCATGGGGGGGAGGCATGGGGGGAACACTGCCTAAGAGAGTCCACGTCAATTTCTGACAATTTACGGGAGTTTTCGGCGAAGCCTGCAAATTGTCGTAAACTGCCGCTAACCTGAAGTTCCACGACAATCTACAGTGCCGCATATTGACGAAAATCCCACTTTTCATGCAGTGTAAATCTGTACTATTCTATTCAGTTTATTTCTATAGCTCCAGTTCACATCATGTCATCTCTAGGCAATTTCCAGTTCACCAGATCATCCAGTCAGATTGATTCAAAGTTTTCTATCTAAGGAAAACCAGCTGATTGCATCGACTCATTGACTCTTCAGCAATCCCTCACACTAAGCTTGTTTGTAGCGACAGTGGAGAGGAAAAACTCCCTTTTAACAGGAAGAAACCTCCAGCAGCAGTGTGAGCGGCCATCTGCTGAGGCCGACTGGGGTTCAAGGAGACAGAAGCAGAGATAGAAAAAGAAGCATAGATACAAAAGGCAACTGTCAACCAGGAAACACACAGCCAGGCAGACGAGCTCTGAGCCAGCTCCCATGTCAGAGGATGAAGAGAGCACATCCAGTTAGTCACAGTCAGAGAAACAGGACTACACTGAAAAACAGGCCAAGCTCCAACATCTAGAAAAAAAGGTGTTGATGGCAGCAGCACAGCTGATATTTCTGGAGTCACAGCCAAACAGGAACAGACCAGATGAAGCTACTATGAGAAAAAGCAGAGAGAGCAGAACGTTAGAGATTGAACTAATAGATTCTGCAGAGTGGGAGAATAGAGATAGACAACATATTCTCATTATCAGTGCGTATGAAATCGTACCAAAAGTTATGCACACTATTTCGTACGTTTTGGACGTTTTTCCTCAAAAAACCACATCAGTGCGCATGCGCTGGCAGACAGAAAAAAAAAGCAGATCCGCGGACGGACGTAAAAATGGGAAAAACTGTGCAATCATCACTTATTCATGTCTGTAACTACGTTGCTTGCTGTTTTATATCTTAGGGTTAAGGTCAGGGTTAGGGCTAATTGTAATTTATATTCTATATTCGTGAATGGTGCGTCAGATGCGCATGCGCATACAACGAAAAAAACGTCCAAAACGTACGAAATTACAGTGCATAACTTTTCGTACGATTTCATACGAACTCACAATGAGAATAGGTTGAGATAGAATGAAGCAGAATGATGAAATAGGGGTCCCTATGTCCTCCAGCAGTCTAAACCTATAGCAGCATAACTATAGAGATAGCTCAGGATAACCTGAGCCACCCTAACTATAAGCTTTATCAAAAAGGAAAGTTTTAAGCCTAGCCTTAAAAGTAGATAGGGTGTCTGCCTCACGGACTAATGCTGTCTACAGAAAATCACTCAAGAAAACCAAAGTATTTTGGATGAGGTATAAGAAATGCAGAGCCACAATGGGGCCAAGGCCAATAAGCTCATTGTTTTACTTCTAGTAACACTAGATGAGGCATACAGATAGGCGACTGTAAACATCAGAGCTGCAGGGACTTCATAGTTGGTGTGTAAATGATCTGATCATCAAACTGTTATTTGCTAGATATAGAGGCCCTCAAACTGACATTATCCTGATTTCAGCTGAATTTGACTGGATCCTATAGAAGAAAAAAATCCATTCAGTTTGCAAAGCTTATAAAAAATGATTAACAAAAGTCAAGGTAATATCGGTTATATATTCCACCATGTTTCAGTTGGTTGATTAAACATAGTTTAGGTTTCTTATAGGTTTGTTTTCCACTTCAATCTCAGTTGATGAAAAAATGTTCTCCATTCAAGTAGTTTTCTGTTTCCTTCTTAGTTTTAGTCGAACCCTGCTGCTCAGGGCAGCTCAGCCACATTGATGGTCTTGGCCGTCCGAAAATAACACGTCAGTCCTCCTTCGTGCACCAGCTTCCTCGGGAACGCGCAGTTCATGAACCAAGCCGTGGGTGCGTCCCGGTGCCATCAGGCACCACCCGGAGGCAGAGCGCGGAACCCTCCGTAAAGCCTTCTGAGTGGAAAAGCCCACGCAGAGGAGGATGGGCGTCCTGCTGTCCGCTCTGTGTCTGTGGGCGCCCACAGGGTGAAGCTCACAGCTCATACCGGACAGGATGGCAGCGCTGCAAAGCTCCAACTCCACGTCTGTGTGGAACCGGTCCTCAGTGGAGCTGAACCGGTTCCGCAGCCTGAGTGAAATGGATGTTCCAGCAGAAAGTTCTCCTGCGCTGCGCATCATCATCTCCATCGTGTACCTGCTGGTGTGCGCTGCGGGGCTGCTGGGGAACCTGCTGGTCTTCTTCCTGATGAAGGCGGGCAGCGGCAGGAGGAAGAACTCCGCCATCAACATGTTCATCCTCCACCTGGCAGTTACGGACTTCCAGTTCGTCCTCACTTTACCGTTCTGGGCGGTGGACATTGCGCTGGACTTCAGCTGGCCGTTCGGAAACGCCATGTGTAAAATCCTCCTGACAGTGACGGTGATGAACATGTACGCCAGCGTGTTCTTCCTCACAGCCATGAGCGTCACGCGCTACTGGTCGGTGGCTTCAGCTGTGAAGAAGCGGCGCCTGCAGCCAGCCTGGTGGCTCATCCCTGCGCTCTGGCTGTGCGCCATGGCGGCCTCTCTGCCTACGGCCGTGTTCTCCACAGTGAGAAGGGTGGCGGGGGAGAGACTGTGTCTGATGGGCTTCCCGGAGGGCCAGCCTTGGTTTCTGTTTCACTACCTTCAGAAGCTTCTGGTGGGTTTTGTGTTCCCCATGCTGATAGTGACCGTGTGCTACCTGCTGCTGCTGCGCTTCGTCCGCCTGCGCTGCAGGAACAACCACCAGGTGAAGCGGAGCTCCAAGGTGACCCGATCGGTCACCATCGTGGTCCTTTCCTTCTTTATCTGCTGGATGCCGAACCAAGCCATCACTCTCTGGAGCCTTCTGGTGAAGCTAAACCTTCTCCACTGGGATCTAGCTTATTATATGGTGCACACCTACCTCCACCCAGTCACTGTGTGCCTGGCGCACACCAACAGCTGCCTCAACCCGGTCCTGTACTGCCTCATGCGCAGGGAGTTCAGGAAGAGGATCAAAGCTCTGTTCTGGAGGATGTCCTCTCCATCCGGGAGGAACCCATGCCGCCTGAGGCCTTTCTCCAGGGCGGTCAGAGAGGACACGCAGACCGCCGTCCCTCTCAACATCCTGGAGACGGTTTTAACGGACCAGTGCGACACGGACGCGGAGCAGCAGAGGTAGCAGGAGCACATGAAGTAGAAAGGCAGAACAATTAAACTATTCAGTTTATTTCTATAGATTCACATCATGTCATCTCTTGGCAATTTCCAGTTCACCAGATCATCCAGTCAGATTGATTCAAAGTTTTCTATATAAGGAAAACCAGTTGATTGCATCGACTCATTGACTCTTCAGCAATCCCTCACACTAAGCATGCTTGTAGCGACAGTGGAGAGGAAAACTCCCTTTGAACAGGAAGAAACCTCCAGCAGAACCAGGCTCAGTGTGAGCGGCCATCTGCTGAGGCCCACTGGGGTTCAAGGAGACAGAAGCAGACATAGAAAAAGAAGCATAGATACAAAAGGCAACTGTCAACCAGCTTCACAGGCGGCACACAGCCAGGCAGACGAGCTCCGAGCCAGCTCCCATGTCAGAGGATGAAGAGAGCAGATGGTAAACAGATGTTGAAATATGACTGTTGAGGGGTGAAAGTACCCACAGAGGCCAACTGAACTCTGATTGCTCTGCGTGTATACGCCTTTGGACTTACCTATAGTGGACAAATTAGGATTTTTTTTTATTCATATTTTTCAGCTTTATGTCTAACAAGTAATTAAACAGAAATCTAAGTACTGCTTTGTTTGAAGCAAGTCATATTTTATGGATATTAATGATGGGTTAGAAATGCTTTGGCCGTCTGTGTTTGCTCTAAGTAGGACTACTAATGGTCAGGGGCGGATATAGGAAATGTGGGGCTCTAGGCAAAGACAGGCAGGGGGCCCTCTAAACTAAGAAGACAGCACATAAAACAGACCCATTCTACAGATAGAGAAATGTTAATAGAATAGACATCCATTATTTGTTCTAGGTTGTGTCCCTCTCTTCTTGTCCCTTTTCTTCTTGTTTTCCTCTCTATGTTTTGTACTCAGCTGACTTTTCATGCTGTCTCTAAAGGAATGAAAGATTTTTTCCAAGCACTAAGCTCACTTAGCTGATTGCTCCTTCCTGTGTTTCCAAAAAGGCCAAAGTAAATAACCCAGTCCTTCTTTTCACTGTAGACTAGCCATGATCTGCTTATCTGTTCTCCATTTTTTATTTGGATGAAATAATAGCTGCATGAATCATGACAGCAGACAAGATAGAGGAGAGCAGGAGGCGGGGTTACCAATCTACTTGCTCTGGAGAGCAGAGTTCGCTGCTTTTAGATGTTGTCTCCAAAGTCTCCAGTAGCAGAAAAAAGTCTCTAGATTTGCTGCTAGACGCTTTTTAGAAATCAAAGTGCTAGAGGGGTCTGAAAAGTGGCTAAATATAGCGACTAAAGCGCTAAGTTGGCAACACTGCTCTTTGCATGGTTTGTTTTCAAATGGTTTGCTGCTGTCTGTTTGGACCTTTCTGAACATGTGCAGCAAATGGACTGATCCAATATGGCGAATAGTTGTATTAACCATACATGGAAACAGAGTTTTAAGGGGCCCCCAGGAACTTGGGGCCCTAGGCAGCTGTCTGGTATTGCCTAATGGTAAATCCCCCTTATTTCAGTGGCTTCTTCTGGTAACATTTATTCCAAAGAGTGTATAAAACATATGGCTGATGGCTGAATTTGGACTCTTTTATCTGAGGCTGTACTCACTTCATACAGCTTAGATATTAAAGGCTGTGTATTGAGGGAACTGCACATTTGTACTGTAATATAAGCTGTACACTGACTGTTTTATGTTGTGTCAAAGTGTTATATCTTCTCTGTTGTATATATTAAAAAAAGTACAATATTTACAGAAATGCCAGGGGTTTACTTCTGTTGCCCATGTTTTAGACATTAAAGGCTGTTTGTATTTGTACTGCTACACAAACTGTACGTTGGCTGGCTGTTTATGGGCGTCATGGCTTCAGTTTTGTTTCATGAAATGGCAAAAAAATATTTAAAAAAGTTTAGAGGACCACTGCTCTATACAAACAAGAATAAACTGTGTTTTGGCTAAGGTCAACGTGCTAATGTCAATATTCTTATATTCATGTTTTTCTTCTTCTCTTCAGGTTCAATTAATTATCTGACTTTATAGAATTTACTGGGCATCACTGCTCAAACCTACAGTATTTAAATTCTAGTGGATTAAATGAACCACAGAAGTAAGTAGTATTCTCTATAGATAAAGCTTAATGGCTGTAAGGTGTTTATTTATATAAAACATGTATGGATTGTATAATGATGGGCATCGCTGTAAGAAACCACTCTCTAAAAGGGATTTGGACTTTAATGTGCCTATAAAAATGCTGGCATAAAGACTCTATGCTGGATGTTATGTAAGGACAATGAAGAAGACTATAAACAGTGGTGGACTTTGGTCTTACTTAAAATAAGCTCTAAGGGAAAATAAAAACCTTCATTTTGTTGCATAAAACTGCAAAGCAGCTTAGAAACAATGAAAGGTGCATAAAAAATACAGCCGCCCACAATATGAACCATTCAGTCCCATTTATTTGTATGGCTATATTTTAAAACAGACATTGTCTCTGACTTTACAGAGTCAGATCAGACAGATGGGTTAAAAGAATCCATCTGATTGCATGTTAGTGTTTGCAGAATTCACTCTACTGGAGTTGGTATGTAGAAAAAGGAAACGGCTGCTTAAATTGTGTCGCTGAAGTAAGTTGCCCTTATTTCAACACTTTTACTGTTGTGGCAGTTAATCAAGTTACTCTGAAAAACAGGAATACAATCTTATTCTATTTAAAACAAAATAAATGACATTTTTGTGTATTTTTTTGTTAATTTCATTAAAATAATTTGGCAGATTTGAGTGAAAACAGGTAAAACTAGCTTTTTTATTCACTACCCCTGTTAAATTAGAATTATTTTCTTAATTTTTATTATTTATTGAAATGCATATACATTTACAAAGCAAAATGTGCAGTATCAATGATACTGTGTTTTATGGATCTAATTGTATTTGTTGTGTCTTTTTACCAGAAGATTATAAATATACTAAATAACTAAAACTAGAAGTTATAGTTAATTAACAGTTCATTCAAATCCAGGGTAAAATCAATGCAGCAGCTTCAGTAGGGAGGCCCAGACGTCCCTCTCCCCAGCCACCCAACTCCTCCGGGGGAATCCCAAGGCGCTCCCAGGCCAGCTGAAAAACATAGTCCTTCCAGCGTGTCTGGGTTTCCCCCTGGGCCTGCTCCCAGTGGGACGTGCCTGGACACCTCACCAGGGAGACATCCAGGAGAGATCCTAACCAGATGCCTGACCCACTTCAACTGGCTCCTCTCGATGTGGAGAAGCAGCAGCTCTACTCTGAGTCCTCCCCGGATGACTGAGCCCTATCTCTAAGGGAGAGCCCAGACCCACTACGGAGAAAACTCATTTCAGCCGCTTCTATCCAGGATCTCATTCTTTTGGTCATGACCCAAAGCTCATGACCTCTCTTCACCTCAGCTCTCTCTTCACCACAACAGACCGGTACAGCGCCAGCTTCACAGCAGACGCCACACAAATCCGCCTATCAATCTCCCACTCCATCTTCCCCTCATTCATGAACAACACCCCAAGATACTTAAACTCCTCCACAAGGGGTAATACACCCTCCCCAACCCGGAGAAGGCACTCTATCCTTTTCTGGCTCAAGACCATGATCTCGGATTTGGAGGCACTGATTGTCATCGCGGTCGCTTCCCACTCGGCTGAGAACCGCTCCAGTGAGAGCTGTAGATCACGTTCTGATGAAGCCAACAGAACCACATCATCTGTGAATAACAGAGATACAATCCTAAGGCCACCAAGACAGATCCCCTCAACACCTTGGCTGCGCCTAGAAATTCTGTCCATAAAAGTTATGAACCAAATCGGTGCGACTTACTGCCGGCAATGTGAACCAGGCTATGACACCGGTCATACAGAGACCTAACAGCCCCTATTAAGGGCCCGGTACTCCATACTCCCGGAGTAACCCCCACAGGACCCCCCGAGGGACATGATCGAATGCCTTCTCCAGATCCAAAAAACACATGTAGACTGGTTGGGCAAACTGCCATGTACCCTCCAGAATCCTGCTGAGGGTGTAGAGCTGATCCAGTGTTCCACAGCCGGTACAAAAACAACACTGCTCCTCCTGAATCCGAGATTTGACTATCCGATGGACCCTCCTTTCCAGAACCCCGGATTAGACCTTACCAGGGAGGCTTAAGAGTGTGATTCCTCTGTAATTGGAACACACCCTCCATTCCCCTTTTTTAAATAGAGGGACCACCACCCCGGTCTGCCAATCCAGGGGAACTGCCCCTTATGTCCACATAATGTTGCAGAGCCGCGTTAGCCAACACAGCCCCATAACATCCAGAGCCTTAAGGTATTCAGGGCGAATCTCATCCACCCCTGGAGCCTTGCCACCGAGGAGCTTTTTAACCACCTCGGTGACTTCGGCAACAGAGGTGGGAGGACCGAAGCCGGAGCCCCCAGGCTCTGCTTCCTCGATGGAAGACGTGTTGGTGGGATTAAGGAGGTCTTCGAAGTACTCCGCCCACTGACATACAATGTCCCGAGTTGAGGCCAGCAGCACACCACTACCACTAAAAATAGCATTGGTACTGCACTGCTTCCCCCTCCTGAGTTGCCGGATCATGGACCTGAATCGCTTCGAAGCCGTATTGAAGTCTTTCTCCATGGCCTCTCAGAACTCTTCCCACGCCCCAGTTTTTGCCTCAGCGACCAGTCGAGCCACCTGACGCTTTGACTGCCGGTACATATCAGCTGCTTCTGGAATCCCACAGGTCAATAAAGCCCGATATGACTCCTTCTTCAGCTTGACAGCTTCCTTCTCTGCTGGTGTCCACCAGCGTGTTTGAGGGTTGCCGCCGCGACATGCACCGACAACCATGCGGCCACAGCTCCGACTAGCCGCCTCAACAATAGAGGCACGAAACATGGTTCACTTAGACTCAATGTCCCCCACCTCCCTCGGAACGTGTTCAAAGCTCTGGCGGAGATGGGAGTTACAACTCCTTCTCACGGGGGAATCTGCTGGACGTTCCCAGCA